CTGTCTCCACTCTTCTCTCGCTCGTGTTCTCTCTCAAAAATAAAATACACATTTTTTAAAAAGTCACTTTAACAGGAGTATGTGCAAAGAACTAATGAGATGTAAGAATGGAGGCAAGAGGCGAATTACGAGGCATTTCAACAATTTAGACAAAAGATGAGGCTCCCTGGACCAGGGGAGGCCCTGCGAGAATGCAAGAGTTGGGGCAGGTAGTAGGACTGACTGGCTGCAGAAAGTGAGGGAGGAATGAGGTGAGAATGCTCGTCACAGTTCTGGCTGGGGCCACCCGATGATCTATGCATGGTACCATCCACAGAACTAGGGAACGTTTACACCAAGATGAATAAACAAGTGCAGGAATAAATGGGGAAAAAATGGCTAAGTTCATTCTTTTGCATGCGGGGCAATATTTTAGCCATGAATTGTGTATATACAAGCATGCATAGAAAGTATATACTACCTGGAATCTCAGAAAATTAGATTAGGAACCAAGAGTTTAAGCCTTTGGGCAACTGCCAAGAACCTTATATCAATCTTAAAGGTAAATTTAACAAAATAAATGTTTAAAGCAATATAAAGTTTCTAATATTCAGAGCCTATGCTTGCTGAAACTGGCCTCCCATCCCTAAAACCTCCACGCAAATGTGCATCCATAGACAGGAATGCCCTGCACACGTACTGTGTGTGTACCAGCACTGAGAACTTTTAAATTTGTGAACACAGCCTATACGCGTGCTTCCATGTGAAAACATATATGCTTTTATGTAACAAAAAAGATTCTAATCCCCAGAAGGTTCTTTATTTTTACATATCAATTTATTTTATATTTTTCCTAATTTTATTATGTTACTTGACATGTTTAATTGAGGAAGATTTGCTGAGATTATATTAGGGTTGATAGCAGGTGTAAGTACTAAGTAAAAAAAAAAAAGGTCATGGCACTAGAGAAAAACTAAATTAAGAGAAAATGCAAATAAGGAACATGACTGTTACATTAAACAGTTTAGAAATGAAAAAGGAAAGTAAGTCCCATGATTAGATCAAAGTAGAAAAATACACTGAGAAAATGAGAGTCCCAAGAAAAACAAAGAGAGAAACAACAGCACACATTACTGATTTATGAAGAGAAGAATATCCACTCCACCTCATGGGCCCAACAGAAAATCTTCAGAAGCTAACTGCTGAATGCTGGCATGAAGGGAAGATGAAGAGTGTAATGATGACTGGTGTTCCCCGTTACATGCGTGTATCTGGTCCTGACAGTGTAGAATGCAAGGGATTTTAATGACAGGTGTGTAAAGCAGCATTAGCTAGCATCCTTTTAGGTGCCTTAAGGTTAGAAAGACTAGAAGGCCTTTCGAAGGACACAGGATGGGCCTTTGGGCAGCACTGTCCCAGAACCTACTGAATCCTAGATTTGAGCAGCTCTCCCTCTTTTTCCCTTCCTTCCCCTTTCTGGGCCTATGTGATCTAGCGATGGATGAGCACTTATGTCAGAAGAGTGTCAGGGCTGTAAAGGATCATACTCTCTCTTTATATTAACAATGCATAAGGAGATCGTTCTCACCTGCTTCTCACAGAACAATAAATGGCAATGAAAATAATTCTAAACTAAAAGAAACGTATCACTGTTATGTCGCTTTAAAAATACTATCTTATTCCTGAATGGAGCTTTTTCATAATTAGTAGGCACTGACTGCCTAATAAGTAATTCAGGTTTCACATACAAATCTAAATTATATTTTTAGCATATATAAATAGATAAATATAATAATGGATTACAAGTTGTTTATCAGTTAGAAAGTCTAATAAAAAAACAACAGGTTAGGGGTGCCTGGGTAACTCAATCGGTTAAGTGTCTGACTTCACCTCAGGTCATGGTCTCATGGTTTGTGGGTTCGAGCCCTGCATCGAGCTCTGTGCTGACAGCTCACTCAGAGCCTGGAGCATGTTTCAGATTCTGTGTCTCCCTCTCTCTCTGACCCTCCCCTGCTCATGCAGTGTCTCTCTCTCTCAGAAATAAATTTAAAAAAATTAAAAAAAACAGTTTATATTGTTTTAAGGGAATTAAAAATACATATATTTTAATGCTGTTCATCTCTGATAGATAAAAACACATTCCTATATTATTAATGGAAGAGCAATATTTGCAGTCTGCGTATTATAACCTGCCTATTAGAAGCCTGCCCTCTTGGACCCAGGGCCCCTTGGACTTATCATAAACCATAAAAGCCACAACGTCATATATTTAAGTGTGAATCAGGTCGGCATTCCTTTCAAGATTAAACTCTTAAGCCATCCCTTTATAAAATGCAGATCTAATGGAGCTTTGAGCATAAACTGATAAGAAGTAAAGCGTTGGAATAATGTAGCCAAATGCCTCTGATTGGATCTATTCACCAGCAATTTCTAACAAAAGAAAACAATAAGAGAAACCCCAAAAGAATATGCAGTTTTATAACCTCTTTCTGTTTAAAACCAAGATACAACCAGAGGCACCTGGGTGGTTCTGTGGGTTAAATGTCCCACTCTTGATTTCAGCTCAGGTTATAATTTCACGGTTCAGGAGTTCAAGTTCTGAGTCGGGCTCCAGGCTAAGAGCACAGGGCTTACTTGGGATTCTCTCTCTCTTGATCTCTCTCTCTCTGCCCCTTCCCCTGCTTGCTCTTTTGCTCTCTCTCTCAAAATAAATAATTTTTTTAGTACAAATTTAAAAAAAAGACACAAGCAGATTTCATTTTATAAACACTTTCTTCCTAGGTGATTCTCAAATAAGTCATCCTCTTTAGACTTCTATGTACACTTATGAATCTTTAACATTATTCTACGGATGTTCTTGGAGTTACTGGTAAACCTAATGCATCAGTGTAGCTTAAGTTTATCTGGCCTACATTATACAAATATCATTAATGCTTGCCATTGTAAAGTAATGAAGAATGTTAAATACATAACCATATACAGGGCTTGAAGCTAAGGACTTCAGACAAGGACACACACACACACACACACACACACACATTGACAGAGAGAGAAAGAGAGAGAGAGAAACAGAAAGAGCAAGAGACAAAAAAAGAGAAAGCGAGGGAGTTGTTTGGTGGGCATTAAAAAGTCCAAGATAGAAAAAAAGTCATTCCCAAAGATTTTGTGAACTAAAAGTTAATATATTTTTACTTTTTTAATACATACCTGTATTTCTAAATTATTTTAATGTTTATTAATTTTGAGAGACAGAGAGTCAGCATGGGAGGGGCAGAGAGAGAAAGAGACACAGAATCGGAAGCAGGCTCCAGGCTCTGAGCCATCAGCACAGAGCCTAACACGAGGTTTGAACTCACAAACTGCAAGATCATGACCGGAGCCAAAGTAATACGCTTAACCAACTGAGCCACCCAGGTGCCCCAATATATACTTCTATTTCTTAGCTCTGTCTTCATCATGCTATTAATAAGCAACTTGCTTTTTATACTGCTTTAAAAACACAAGTATCTTTCTCATTGATGATGGTACCTTCATGAATGTGATTTTACTGTATTAACAAACTGATGTATACATTACTGTATTTCAAGAAAGGAAATAGCCTATTTATGTATTTACATAATTAAAATCTCAAGTGAAAACTATACTGATCTTCCTATTAATAACTTAAATATTTAAGACCTACAGGCTGAAAATTATAGTGTCATAAACTTTTACTACTTTTTTGATTCCTACTGACTGCCTTTCTTACAATTCAGTGTGTAAAAGAAATCTCCAGTTTGCTTTCTAAGTGTAATATATATATACATGTTTTTAGAGAGGTAATCAAAATGGTTTTATATGTGAATTTTCTATTTACTATTGTTATTAATCACACAATCTTCCCACAGATTTTCTACATTCAAAGTTCAAAAGTATAATACATCCAGTACTGCCAGAAATTACCCAAGAATCACTCATTGGGGTCCTGCTCATTTATAAACCCATCTTTCCTGTGGAAATTTACATTAAAAAAAATACCACACATATATGTGTGATTTACATACATATACGAACCAAAATTTGCGGGAAATCTGTGCTAACCAAAGTTAAACATATTTCTTTGAAATAGGATATTTCAAAGGATTTTGACTATAGTGGAGGAGCATAAAGTATTCAGCATTTCCAATTTGAGAGCAAACCCTTTTTTCTTTCTTAGACCAGTACATCTTAGACATTCTTTTTTTTTTTAATGTTTTTTATTTATTTTTGAGAGAGAGGAGAGAGAGAGAGAGAGAGCATGAACAGGGGAGAGTCTGAGAGAGAGGGAGACACAGAATCAGAAACAGTCTCCAGGCTCTGAGCTAGCTGTCAGCACAGAGCCCAACAGGGGGCTCGCTCGAACCCACGAACCATTAGATCATGACCTGAGCTGAAGTCGGACACTCAACTGACTGAGTCACCCAGATGTCCCCATCTTAGAACATTCTTGCTAACATCTTCCCATAATCTCTTTTTCACAAATTTATGCAGTAGCAAAACATACAGTAACTCATTAGCAACACAACTAGAACTCAGATTTCGAAAAAAAAGTTATAAAATTCCAACTAATAAAATTTGAATTTATATAGCATTAATGACAGTATTTGCAAGAAAAAGATTTCATACTCAATTCTGAAGTTGAAATAACAGCTATTCTTTTATGTTGGCAAGGAAACTCAACATTTGACTATGAAATCATGCAAGTATTTAATAACAACTATGAAACAATCATGCTTTTTTTGCTCTTCTGCTTGTTAAGCTAAAAGAAATAAAACATACTATCCCTGTGCCTTAAATTTGATTTCTAGGAATTTGTTTTTAATTATATCAGTGGGTGTTTCCAGAGTTCTCTCATTTCATTTTTTGATTAACTGACTTTGAACTGAATACGTCACTTGCCAGCATGGAGAGACACAAGTAAACAGTTTAGTCAAGTGCAGCTTGTTCATCTGGAAGAGCACAATCGGGCACAATTATGGTTCTGCTTTCCTATGGTACGATACCTGGACATCTATACAGCTTTCTTGCCTGGGCAATATCCCCTTTGCTTAAACGGGTTCGCTGACCGATTGCAGGACGGATGCCATTATCATCACGAGATGGGAGAATCGTATCCAGAAACATCCCCCTGAAAAAAATCAGAAGTAAGCCACACATAAGTCACCAAATTAAGATGCATACATTCCTTACAAGTTGAAGATTATTTTTTTCCAAACTCATGCCAATTAAAAGGAACACACGTCAGTGTTGAACTTTAAATAGGGTGCCAGACTTTCAAAACACGTTAATCAAAGTAGAAGAAAAAGTTATATTAAACTGTATACCTAGCATAAAATCAGTGATGAAATTCACTTTAATTTAGAAATGATTTTTAAAAGTCTAGAATTCTACATAGTTCCCCCGCACCAAGTGTACCAAGGCATTTATTTTAGTCTTTTAAGCAGATCTAAGAATTCCTTGGATTATTAAATTGTAAAACAAGTTTTCCTCACAGAAATCTATTTTTAAGGACAATGTTTAATACATATTTTTAAGGTTACTAAGATTGTAAAAGTAAAACAAAATATGTTATTTTTAGTTAAATTATTAATTTAACCCATGTATTCTTAGAAGTCCAAGTATTAAAGTATATATATGAAGAATAGGAAAAAAGAGAGGGTCAAATTTTAGAAACAACAGTTTAAAGCAAAGTGGTTTTTTGATCAATGCAAACACAGAGAGAAAATAACATTTTCAGGGTAAAATTAAGAAGAAAAAACTAGCAATGCATTCATAATGCTAAGTTAGAGACACCAAGTTGTGAGATCAAGGTTGTGATAAAAACTCAACATCTTCTTAATATTCAAAATTAAAAATTCTGAATATAATGCACTAAAGATACAGTTTTAATTTTGCAATGAATATCAACATTTATAGCTTTAAAGGAAAAACAGAGCTTAAAAGTTAGAGTGGTAAACTATTCCAGTGGTAAGATGGATGGTGTATATGAGGGTTTTCAAAAAAAGTATTTGAAATTAGTTTTTTTTAATTTTATTTTAGAGAGAGAGAGAGAGCACAAGTAGAGGAGCAGACAAAGGAAGAAAGAGAGAGAGAGAGAGAGAGAGAGAGAGAGAGAGAGAGAATCCTAAGCAGGCTCCATGCTTAGGCAGACATCAACATGGGGGTCAATCACATGACCATAGGATCATGACCTAAGCCAAATTCAAGAGTTGAACACTCAACCAACTGAAGCACTCAGGTACCTCAAAAGTATTTGAAATTAAGAAATACAATTGTAAAAAAATTTTTTTAATAAGATGAAAGACATACACCATTACAAAATGTTAATGAATACATTGTATATAAACTACAAGTTAAAAGAAATTTCATCTCCACATATTCCTTCCTTTAGAAAATACTAACTAAGCACTGTTGTAGGTCTGGATTTATAGCCTTTGATAAAAGAAAAATTTATGATTCTCACATTTTATTGTGGGGTAAGAGACATTAAACAAAAGATTGAAAACTGAAATAGTGACAGGCTTTATGGAGAAAAAAGAAGTGGAGATGGATATTGATTATCCAGTGATGGGGTAGCTTTTAAATAGTTAGATCAAAGGAAACTCACTTGGAAGTTGACATTTTGGGCAAACATGAAGGGAGTGAAGGTGAGGGCATTGTGGGTAATTGGAGTAGAGACTTCCAAAGAGACAAAACAGGAAATTCAACCATTCAGAGATGGGAGGATCCTTAAAGTGTTTGAGTGTCACACAGATAATGTGACTCTTAGACTGAGGAAAACTATTAATATCTGGAATATGGTAAACAGAGGAGTGACATGATCTATCTATTTTATGACTAACCTCTCTGCCTCCAAGGTCAGGGTAGTGATTTTTAGATAAAACCTGAATAATGCAAAGAGAGGATGGAACTCTATAAATTTAAGTATCTGTAGAACACCACATGCATGCCTGAGATAAAAGTAAGGAGGGGAAACTAATGATTTATGGGAGTTGATTAGCAAAAGAGAGAACTTGCACATACTTAATTAGATGCAACTACAGCTAAGCCAATGTAATTGAAGAGGAAGTAGAGCTCCTAAATAGGGTAGTATTGAGAAAAGCCATTCTTCAACTATACTTCATGAATCACCATATACATTAGTAAGTTAAGTCCAAATTAATGAAGGGTTGCCATTTCTGCAGTACTTCAGTACCAACAAAGTATTCATTATTTTCTATTTCTAAAAACAGATTTGTAATCTTTAAAGGTTTATTTTTTCCAGTTTTCAAAACTGTTCAGTCTAAAAAGTTCAAGGACATCTTGGCATGGATATATTCAAACTCATACAACAGAATGATGAATTTTGACTTCTTTTCTCTACTGCGGTAACTTCTCATTCAGAAGGGGGTAAGTCACCCTTTCTTTTGTTCTTTCTTTCTGTCAAGAAGTTAAAATTCTCTCCCTCCGCACCCAGGCCATTAATCAATGCAGGCCTTTCTGGACTATCCTCAGTGAGGCACTATTAATAGTCCAGAGACAGATTACAAAAGGCTTCACTTACGAATCTTCATTTGCTCCACCTACATGAGAAGACTGAATTAGCTATGGTTTTTAAAAAAATTTTGTAAAATTTTGCAATTCTTTTATTAATGAAAAATAAGCAATCCCAGTTAGCAAGCCACTATACTACAAGTTACCCAAGCATATAAAGGTCCCATACATCTAGGCTTATCCTTCCTAAAAGTAAGTACCCAAATCTGCTGATGGGTTACATTCATGAAAACAACTAAAACTTTTACAGATTCCCTGGGTTCAGAATAGAAAAAATACATATAAAATTTCAAATATCTGCATTAATAGAATGAAGAACAAAAACTCCCACATATTCATCTAACTGATGTAGAAAAGGCATTTGAGAAAATTCACACCTTTCATGATAAAAACTTTCAATGAACTAGGAATAGAAGGAAACTGTCTCCACATAAAGACCATGAATGAAAAACCTACAGCTAACATCATACTCAGTGGTGAAAAATGGAAAGTTTTCCATCCAAAGTCAAGAACAAAGCAGAAATGCCTGCTCTCACCACTTCTATTCAATATAGTATTGGAAGTTGTAGCCAGAGCAATTAGGCAAGAAAAGGAAGTAAATGCATCTAAATAGGAAAGAAAGAATTAAAATCATCTATCTTTGCAGATCATATAATCCTATATGTAGAAAACCCCAAGGAGTCCACAAAAAAATTAGAACTAATAAATTCATTAATGTTGCAGGATTCAAACTGAACACACAAAATTCAGTTGCAATTCCATACAATAACAATGAACAATCGGAAAAGGAAATTAAATTAAGAAAACAATTCCAGGGGTGTCTAGGTGGCTCAGTTGGTTAAGCATCTGACCTGAGCTCAGGTCCTGACCTCATGGCTTGTGAGTTCAAGCCCCATGTCTGTCAGCACAGAGCCTGGAGCCTACTTCATCTCCCTCTCTCTCTGCCCTTCCCCCACTTGCACTCTGTCTCTTTGTCTCTCTTTCCCCCCAAAAATGAATAAACATTAAAAAAGAAAAAAAAATTCCATTTAAAATATCATCAAAAAGAATAAAGTACTTAGAAATAAACCCATCCAAAAAAGTGAAAGCCTTCTAAACTAAAAACTATAAAACACTGTTGAAAGAAATTAAAGAAGACACAAATAAATGGAAAGACATTCTATTCTTATGGATACATGGACATTCCATGTCTAATTTGGTAAGATGTTAACACTACACAAAATGATCTATAGATCCAGCATAATCTCTATCAAAACCCAATAGCATTTATCACAAAAATAGAAAAACAGGCCTAAAATTCATACGGATCTCATAGAACTTCAAATAGTTAAAAATTTTTTGAAAAACAACGAAGTTGAAAGATTCACACATTGTGATTTCAAAACCCATTATTAAGCTATAGTAATCAAAACAGTGTGATACTGGTATAAAGATAGACTTATAGACCAATGGAACAGAATAAGAATCTCAGAAATAAACCCTAGTGGATATAGCAAATAATCTTTAACAAGGGTGCCAAAAGCACTTAATGGCAAAAACAAACAACAATAATCTTTTCAACAAATGCCGCTGGGAAAACTGAATATCTATGTGTAAAAGAATAAAGTTAGGTAATTATTTAAGCTATATAAAAAATTAACTCAAAATAAATTAAATACTTAAACACAAATCCCAAAACTATAAAACTCCTAGAAGAAAACAGTGGAAAAGCTTCATGACATAGAATCTGGCAATCATTTCTTGGATACTAAAGCACAGTCAATAAAACTAAAATAGATAAGTGGGATTGCATCAAATTAAAAACCTACTATGCAACAAAGATGAAAAAAAGAGAAAATACTTGCAAATTATACATCCAATAAGAGCCAGAATGTATACAGTAATCCTATAACTTAAGAACAAAAATTGAATGATCTGACTTTAAAATGAGCAAAAGAATTGAACAGACATTTCTTCAGAGACAATACACAAATAGAATGCACATGAAAAGGTACTCAACATCATTAATCATCAGAGAAATGAAAATCAAAACCACAATGAAATATCAAGCCATACTCATTAGGATGGCCACTATTTAAAAAAGGAAAAAAAAAGGAGACAATAACACATGTTGGTAAGGATATGGAATAACTGGAACACTATGTACTGCTGTGGGATTATGAAATGGTGCAGCTACTATAGAAAACATCATGAAGCCTCTTCAAAAAATTAAAAATAGAACTACCATATGATCTAGCAATCCTACTTCTGGGTATATATGCAAAATAATTGAAGATAGGATCTGGAAAAGATATTTGCATACTCATATCGATAGCAGCACTATTCACAATAGCCAAGGAGTGGAAGCAACTCATATGTCCATCAGTGGATGAATAGATAAGCAAAATACGGCATATACATACAATGAAATATTAATCAGCCTTAAAAAGGAAGGAAATCCTGTCACATGATACAACTTGGATAAACCATGAAGACATTGTGCTAAATGAAATAAGCCAGTCACAAAAGGACAGATACTGTATGATTCTACTTAATGAAGTATCAAAAGTATCCAAGTTCGTGGAAACACAAAGTGGAATGGTAGTTACCAGGGCTGGCAGGAGGGGAAACAGGGCATTTTTGTTTAATGGGCACTGGGTTTCAGTTTTGTAATATGAAAAAGTTCCAAATATCTGTTTCACAACCATGTGAATATACTTAACATTACTAACTGTACACTAAAAAACAGTTAAGATTGTAAATTTTATGTTGAGTGTTTTTTAACATACACACATAAACACAAAGCTTCAAATGCTTTGGAGGTGGTGGCCAAGAACTGTGATAAATATTTTTTTCTCCTAGAATTCAGCTTTTAAATATATGTATGAGTTAATAAACATTTTCCTTAAAGATCAAGACATAATATAATGTGAATTGCATCAACTCTTCTGACAGGTAGATACAGTTACTTTCACTCTAATATAAGTTCACTGGGAAAAATGAAGAGGATAATTTTGGAAGAATAAGACAAATAATAGGTCAAGACTGGGTGGCATGTAGCCCCATGGTGAGAGTGGTAGGAGTGATGGACTTCAGGCAGCAAGAGCAGGATGGCTTATGGAAAAAAAGAAAAAGAAGCAATTTAAACATGTAAAAGAAATACAGAATGAGAGGAAATATATATTTTAGACTTTGGTATAGATTCATCATCTATCAAAGACAGAAAGAATAATTTTCTCGAATTCTTTCCACCACCTCCTATGTTCTAAAGAATCAAAAGTCAGTTTAGTTCTAAATAACATACACCAGCATTCGAGAGGTGCCTTGGCTGAACTGGGATTCAAATCCCATTTGTTACATGTTACTATGGAAAATTCAATTCCAAACACTGATCTCAAAATAAAGTTTTATAACTCTTTGAGATTAATTTCAGGCCAAATTTATGGGTGTATTTCTACCAAAACTTAAATTCAATCCCAAGAGCTATACATACTATACTATATATAGTGTACTATATAGTGTGTGTATATATATAGTGTAATATATATTGTGTGTAATATATATACACACTATATAAATATATACACTATAAGTATAAAGTATATATATGTGTATATAATACACACTTCAGTATGAAATAATTATTAAATACAGTGAATAAATATTAAAATACAGTTCACACTCAATTTTTTAAATAATACAGTTTTGTCTTTTTAAAGGAGGATAATTTAAAAATGTATCTAAGTATTAAAAGTTCATTGACACATTCTTCTTTACTTTTTATCAAGAGTTATTTTAGGGAGTGCCTGGCTGATTCAGTTGGTGGAGCATGGGACTCTTGATTTCGGGTGTAGGTTCAACCTGCAATGTGGGCATGGGGGGACAGATTACTTAAAAAATAAAAATCTTTAAAAATAAAATCTTTAAAAAAAACAAAAAGGGATTTATTTTAAAAAGACAGGGGTATTGATTTGAATTTTTTATCTCCTTTCCAACCCTGCCCTTAGAAATAGATGTTTGAGGGGCATCTGGGTGGCTCAGGCAGTTAAGTGTTGTGCTCTTGATTTTGGCTTAGGTCATGATCTCGTGGTTTGCAGTTTTGAGCCCCGCATCTTCTCTCTTCTTCTCTGCCTACCCAAATAAATAAACTTAAAAAAAAATTTTTAAAAGAAATAGATGTTAGATGAATTGTGAAGTGGACATAAGTGGGCAAAAAGAATGAGTTAGAATGGATCTATGAGTGTAAAATGAGCATAAATGGGGAAAAGGGATGACTTCAATGTTTTGACAGTTCTAAATTCCTTACCTGGGAACTATTTGCTCGATGATACCATCTTTAGAATAAAGTAATTAAAACCCGAATTTATTATGTTCCTTAAAAATAGTGTTAAAGCTTTAATGAAATGAATTTAAGTTTAATAAGTGGTGAAATTATAAATTGTATGAGGTAAAATATGTTCATAATATGTTGTTTGAGAATTAAAGTATTTAAGCAACTTTTAAGCATAACTAGTAGTTGATCAATAGAAAACACACAGTACAAAACACAACATAAACAGAGAATAAACATTTAAAGTCAACAATCAAGTACCCCATTTGATTCGTGGATGACTAATTTTCATTAAATGATGCTATTACAATTTAAAACATGATTGGCTTAATAATAATTTTCATTGGACTTTTCAAAGTGATCTCGGGATATCAAATAGTTTAAATAATTCATACCATTTAAATTTTTAATCTGAATTTGTGTATTTGATAGGAAATGTGAAACCATGTTTTTAAAACCTCAACTGCTGCTGTTGGCTATAAATCTTAATCAAGTGTTTTTGTACTGGAGGGCAACAGTATCTGAAAGAGGTTCAAGTTCTACTGTTAAGCATAGCTTTGTCAGGAGCCACACAGAGGAAAGGAATTAAAAGTCAAAAGGTATAACCTGAGACTCCAACCTTGAGAAGGTGTTCCTGGCATAGTGCATGATACTGTCAAAATCATATCTTTCTCCAAGTGAGTTCACTTCTCCAGGCTCCATCTTCAGAAAATTGTACTCTTGACCTAAGAAACATTTCAGAAGCCTTTTAGCAGACAGAGAAAAGAACAGAAGAGCCCCTCCTAAGCCTGCATCTGCTCTTTACTAAATGCCAGTTGCAGTTATATGGGAACACCCAGGTACGTGCCAAAGTATGCTCGCATGGCCACTGTTTTCACTTAACATCACGTTGAAAAGTAATAATGAATTTCATTAATAAGTTCATTTTGAATAAAAAGGAGGATCACCAAAAGCATACTTTGGGTTGTTTTCCATGTATATGCTTTATGTTCTTACAAATACTTGTTTTCTAAAAATCTCACTGCTCTTTTCAACACCACAGGAATGATTACAAAAAGTCCCAACTTTACCAAATGAGACTCCACCTTTCTCAGGACTACCTTTGCCAAGATCAACAAAAATTATCTTTTGCTTTAGAGGCTTCCTATGAAACACTGAGAAAAATATAAAAACAGTATTTGTATGTACACACAGCACTGGCAGGCTTTACTATGTGACTTTGTCACTAAAGGCAAAAACAATAGCCACAGATTTCACTCAGAATCGAAACAAGGTTCTCTCTGATGATTCTATTCCAACCTCTGCTTGGAGCGTGTTTTGATCAGGAAGAATGTGCTTGAGAACTTCATAATTTATTTATTTTTGCTTTACTTTTCACAATTGTTATTGTAACTTCTGGACATTTTCCTTTTAATAGGCTTTTCAACTGGCTGTTTATATCTGTATTGTTACACTGTTTCTTGAAATTTGAAAATAACAGACTTAGAAGCATAGATCTGGGGCCATGGTTCCAGAAGCAGAGAATTTCCTCAGATACAGCTGAGGCCTCAGTGACTCCGTTTTCATAATTTCAGTAGCCGAAGACAGATGCTTTAGTGGCTCACGTAACTTAAAAAGCTTTGAAAGACCGGAATGTAAAGGTGAGCTCCTAGAATTCCAAATTCAAGGTTCCAGCTTAAAATGGAACTATTACAACACTAATCTAACTACAGTTTATTCCAACTGCCATATTACTGTGAAAAATATAAATATCACATTAATAAAATTTTCCAAAGAACAATAAATAGAGTGATACCAAAGTATAGTATGTCTTCTGCATGTGATAAGGAAACTTGGTGTACTCAGCACTAAGGATTATAGAATCATCCTGATGTTACAGAATCCAAGTCCCTGACTAAAGTGTTATAGTCTACCTTTCTTTTTTTTTTTTTTAATGTTTTTTTTTCTTTTTTTTTATTTCTAGGAGAGAGAGAGAGAGAGACAGCGTGAGCAGGGAAGGGTCAGAGAGAGGGAGTGACAGACTCTGAAACAGGCTCCAGGTTCTGAGCTGGCAGTCAGCACAGGGCCCGACGCGGGGCTCGAACCCACGAACCATGAGATCATGACCTAAGCGAAAGTCGGACGCTTAACCGACTAAGCCACCCAGGCGCCCCTATTGTTATAGTCTACCTTTCAATGAATTCACACATTAAATCGTTTTTAATGAACTAACCAGCTTGAACGGTAAAATATGTGTTCCCCAAGTATCTGATGTGTCTATTTGTATTATAAACATTTCAGGAAATATTCTGTATTCTTACCAACCTCTCACAGAAGCAACTGTTAAAACTCTCTTCTTCATAAGGAAGAATAAGTATGTTTTAACATATCCAATTCTAAGGTGAGATTTTCATAAAGCTATGGAGCTGGTTTTATAGACATTAATCTATGCCCCAATGGAGATTTCAAATTTGAGCACAATATGGGAAGATATTCTCTAGTTAAAGCAAAATGCTTTATAAAATTTTCTGAAAGTGGAACATTAAGCAACTTTAGTCATAGTCTGAGGCATATAATTGAGCACTTAACATGAAGATGACTCAGTGTTTTGTGCTAAATAAAAACAATATAACCATACATGGTCCAAATAAAGAAAAATCAACTTATTTTGTGAATAAAGGGAAGAGGAACAGAGATACAGAGTACCAGGGGAACTCACCCTAAACAATTAAAAAAAAAAGAAAGAAAGATGATGAACCTTCTTCTTGAAGGCATATTCTAAAATGGATTAAAGTGAGGCACCGAGATGGCTCAGCTAGTTAAGCATCCGATTCTTGGTTTCAGCTTAGGTCATGATCTCATAGTGATTTCAGCTCAGACCATGATCTTGCAGTTCATGAATTTGAGTCCTGTATTGGGCTTTGCACTGACAGTGCAGAGCCTGCTTGGGATTCTCTCTTCCTCTCTCTCTCCCTGCTGCTCTCTCTCTGCCCATCCCCTGCTTGTGTTCTTGCTCTCTTTCTCAAAATAAATAAAGAAGCTTTAAAAAATAAAATAAATAAAACAGAAGTAATACAATCCTTATACCAATGTGGTTCCTATTGTAGTTACTAATTTTGCATATAAATGTGAGGCTAAAGTCTACACTTACTTGACATTGCCCTTGAATAACACTTGATCTTAAGTTTCTGCGCCAGAACAAGTCATAAATTTGTTGAAGATTAATCTCCAGCATGAACTCTTTCATGCTAGAATTGCCATGCTCCACTAGTTCCAAATACTCAGGAAATCTCACACAATAAATTCTTTCTTTTCCATTGGCCTGAATGTTGAGTCACCCACAGTATGAATAGCCATAATTTCCTAAGCACTGTGTTCAGTATGATACATTTATATACTACTTACGTATTTCTTGCTTGTTTTAAATATATACTTAGGTTACAACAGAGTCCTATTATTAAGAGTAAGAATCATTCTTGAAAGTTACTTCCTGTATAAGATGTTCTCTCCATGTAATAAAAGAAACCTAATAACTATGGTTAACAGCAAACTTCTCAGTTAATTGGTAGTTGAAATCATTTTCCGAAATATTGTCCTTTCTTTATTTCTTTCTTAATGATATAAAGATGAACTTTGATAGCTGGCTCAGCCATTTGAGTCTCCTACATTGAGAGTAAACATATTTTTTTACTTCTTGATAATCAACACTATAAAGGATTTCATCATTTTTTAACTAATATACAATTGACATACACTATGATATTAGTTTCACGTGTACAACTTGGTGATTAGACACCTGTATACAATGCAAACTGGTCACCACAATAAATCTATTCACCATCAATCACCTTGCAAAGTTAATAAAATGTTGACTGAATTCCCTATGTGGTACATTACATCTCCAAGACTTACTTATTTTATAACTGGAAGTTTGTACTTCTTGATTCTGTTTACCTACTTCATATCCCCAAATCTCCTCCTCTCTGACAACCACCACTCTGTTCTCTGTATCTGTGCGTCTCAGTTTTGTTCTGGTTTATGCATTTGTTTGTTTTGCTTTTTAGATCCCAATTAGAATTGAAATCATATGGATTTGTCTTTCTCTGTCTGACTTATTTCCTTAGCATAATACCCTCAAGGTCCATCCCTGTTATAACAAATGGCAAGATTTCATTTTTCATGACTAATATACCAGTGTCTGTGTGTGTGTGTGTGTGTGTGTGTGTGTGTGTGTGTGTGTGTGTGATATGTCTTCTTTATCATTCACTTATTGATAGATGGATACTTAGGTTGTTTTCCTATCTTGACTATTGTGGATACTGTTGCAATGAAAATAGGGATGTATATATCTTCTTGAGTTGGTGATTTTGTTTTCTCTACATAGATACCAAGAAGTGGAATTGCTGGATCATACACTAGTTCTATTTGTAATTTATTGAAGAACCTCCATACTGTTTTCCATAGTAGCAACAATAGTGCATGAAGGCTCCCTTATCTCCACATCCATCCCAAGATTTGTTATCTTTTTCTTTTTGACAAAGGTCATTTTAACAGGTGTGAGGTGATATCTCATTGTAGTTTTGATTTGCATTTCCCTGTTAATTAATGACATTGAGCATCTTTTCATGTGCCTGTTTTCTATCCGTGTGTTTTCTTTGGGAAAATGTCTATTCAGAGCCTCTGTCTATTTTTTTAATCAGATTATATTTTATTAAGTTGTATGAGTTCTTTATATATTTTGGATGTTAATAACCCCTTATCAGATATATGATTTGCAAATGTATTCTCCCATTCAGCAAGTTGCCTTTTATTTCATTGATGGTTTCTTTCACTATGCAGAAGCATTTTAGCTTGATGTAGACCGATTTATTTTTCCTTTTATTACGCTTGCATTTGAAATCAGATCCAAACAAAACAAAACAAAACAAAAAAACATTGCTAAGCCTAATATCAAGGAGCTTACTGCCAATGTTTTCATTTAGGAATTTTATGGTTTCAGGTCTTATATTCAACTTTATTCCATTTTGAGTTTACTTTTGTGTATGGTGTAAGATAGTAGTCCAGTTTCATTATTTTGCATGTAGCTGTCCAGTTTTCCTAACACCAATTATTGAAGAAACTATCCTCTCATTGTATTATCCTTGCTCCTTTTGCTATAGATTAATTGATCCTATAGGTGTTGGATTATTTCTGGGAACTCTATTCTGGTCCATTGATCTATGAGGCTGTTTTTAAGCCAATATCATACTGTTTTGATTACTGTAATTGTATAGTATAGATTGAAATCAGGGAGCACAATACTTCTGGTTTTGTTTTTTCTTTCTCAAGATTGCTTTGTCTATTCAGGGTCTATTGTGACTCCATACAAATTTTAGCATTATTTGTTCTAGGTCTCTGAAAAATGCCATTAGAATTTTGATGAGGATTGCAATGAATCTATATATTGTTTTGGGTAATATGGATATTTAATGATATTAATTCTTCCAATCTATAAACGTGGAATATGTTTTTACTTACTTGTGTTTTCTCCAATTTCTTTATTCAGTGTCTTATTAGTTTTCAGTGTACAAATCTTTCACTTCCCTGGTTAAATTAATTCCAAGGTATTTTATACCATCTGATGCAATCATAAATGATGGTTTTCTTGATTTCTCTTTCTGAAAATTTCTCATTAAAGTAGAGAAACTCAATATAGTTTTATATATTAATTTTTTATTCTGCAAAATTTACTTCATTTACTGGCAGT